GATGTGTGCACCTGGATAGAAAACTAATAACCTTAATGGTGGAAGATTTGCAATGTTGCTCATCCTAGAGACTATGTTATACCAAGGACAGCAGAAAGAAAACAGAAAAAAATCAGAAAAGGAGTCAAATGTTCTTTGTTTGAATTCTTATGTGAACTTGTTTGACCATCATCTGGTTATTTAGATTACATCTGAAAAGCAACAAAGAATAAATCTACTAGGGTGGCTTATCCCTTTTTAAGCATTGCTCAAGTTACTTTTTCAGATAATATGCAATCTAGCTCTTCTAACTAGAATTACTCATCGATGTGTGTCAATTAAATGGAAATATCTGTGGTTTAACTATTTCCCGTAAGGTAATTTCAACATACAAGTTCTGGGTACCATTTTCCATCACTAAATCAGCAGCTATTGACTGACATAATTAAAGGAGTCATACATATATTTAAAAAACATAATAATTCACCCAAATTTCTACTGACAAGACAGCTGTGCCACTTCAGAACACAATATATGGTTTTTATTGCTTTTTTATCATCTTCCACAGACCATAACTGGAAATGAGACAAACAGAAAGTGACATTTGAAACCCAACATTGATGACATAATAGCCTCTCAATAAGTGCTAGCGTTGTCACCTCCCCAATGGGACCAACAATGAATCACACACCCATAGATTCTCTCTTCCTTACCTCCTTCAGGCACGTCTTATTCACCTATCAATCATGGATCCAGATGTATCTGAAAAGCAATAAATATACAAGGCTCAAGTAGTTCACATATCCATTTTTCAGAAACTTACTTAAAATTCACATTGAAAGCAGAGAATATTCCACACATATTTTTTCTATCTTTTTGAAAGATACTTATATTGAACAAGATACCAAAAGGCCATTGTATAAAAATATAACAAGTATGCAAAGGTCAACATGAGTACACAAAGGTCATGTTTACCCAATTTCTACAAGTAGCTCTTGAATGTTTTCTAATTAATGGTGGTAATTTCAGAGGCATGTATTACCCTTACTTACCCATTGAACAAAGGTGAACCCATGTGAAAATCATCTGCACATCATGTTTGTTCCAGTAATGAGCAAACGTGACCAATTTTCACTGAAATAAGAGGAATCACAAATCAGTGTCATATATCGGGTGGTGAAAAAGATTTCATTGAGATTCCTAAATAAATAATGAACAAAAAATAGACCACACAGGACATTCTTCGGAATATAAACATCACCAGAGTATCATGAGTTTCTTGGGTTATGACAAACTTAGACTAAAAAAAACAATATTGCTTGAGTACTATTGTACCACTCATTCTCTCTTACATTGGCCTCTCTTGCATGGTCTTGGAAGACATCAAACAACAACAACAAAAATCAAAACTCCTGACCCAGGGGCTCTGAAATTTCATAATTTTTTAAGAGGCATCCTTGCTCATCAAAACCACATGATTAGTTTGTCTGCTGAATACCCTGGGGAAGACAAGAAGATATTTAGAGAAGCTGATGGATGGTTTTTCAGTATCTGATCTATAGAGTCCTGCCCTAACAAAGAAGCCTCACCCAAGGGCCATGAAATTCACCATTTTGGGAGAAGCACCATTTCTCATCATAACCATGCACTTATCTGCTAAATACCCAGGTGCAGAGAAGACTTTCAAAGAATTAATGCACTTAGGGGCCATGAAGTTCAAAATTTTGGAAAAGGCACACTTGTTCATCATAATTTTGCACTTTGTTTGTTTCCTTAATATTTTTTGTACTCACAAGAAGTGCAGAAGATTTTCAAAGAAATAATGCATTTTCACTTTATAATCAATAGACCCCCCCCCCCCCCAACACTAGAACTCCTGACCCTGGGACCACAAATTTTAAAACTTTGGAAGAGGCACTCTTGCTCATCATAAAATGCAATAAGTTGTCTGCTAAATACCAAGGGGCCAAGAAGAAGATTTTTATAGAATTATATGCATTTTCACAACATGATCATTAGAGCCCTGCCCTACTCCAGAACCCCTTGACCCTGGGTCCATAAATTTCACAATTTTGGTAGAGGGCTCAATGCTTGATGTCCAGGAGTAAAGAAGATTATTTTTAAAATTAGCACTGATTTTGATAGTTTTAGTCTCACCCCTCATGCTCCAAGGGGGCAGAGACCATGACATTCATAATTTTTGTACTCCTTAACCCTTTAATGCTATATGCCAGAATTGGTTGAAATTGGCACAGTGGATTAAGACAAGAAGTTGAAAATGTTCAAAAGTTTACAACTAATGCTTGCTAAATGCTCAGAAATAAATAAGAATTTCAAAGTTACACTGTATAGTTTTTAATGTATATATCAAAATTAGTTCCACTTTGGGCACAGATGCAGCTGACAGGAATTCCACAGTTTGAATAGAGGACTAGCTGCTCATTATAAATCATGAAAATAATATGTTTGCTGAAAGAGATTTTCTGGACTCAAGGGACATAAATGTCAAAATTCTGGTAGAGGACTTCTACTCATTGTAATCATATAATGTGTGTGCTGGATCACCTATAAAGAAGGCTTTATAATAAATGTAATGAACTTTTCAATATTGTGTAACCTGGTTACCCAATAACAGAGAAATGAAATGATATGCTCCCTTTCTGTGCATTTAAATTAAGAAATAAATAGAGAATTTTTAACCCTTTGTAGGTCTTAAAATTGGGGATATTCCATTACTTAATAATAGTTTCACACCATTAACCTCTATACTGTTGATAGTAAAGTCTCTAATTCTAATAAAGTAAGAAGACAAGAATATATTCCTTGCATTTTTTTTATTAATCAGCAAATTTCTGGTACCTTTTCTTCAGAAAGTTCAACTTTCACATATCAATAACCCTTAAGACCACGAAACCCCAGCACAGAGTGCAAATAAATTACTGTCACTAAAACTCCCTATCGTACTACATCTCTCACACGTAGCTCAATACGACTATCACTTGACAATTGGTAGGTAACCCTCAATCAAATGTCCCTCAAATAGTATACCTTACAGCAATAACATCCCCTCATCAAATGACAAAAGTAGCCCCACATCCAGCCCCCAACACACCTTCCCTCTTATCCCTAACTCTCAAAACCTCTGTAGGTCATAAAACACCCCTCTCCTCTTATCCCTAACTCTCAGATCTCTATAGGTCATACCCCTGTCACTGGAAGATTGTCAGGAGAAAACGTTTGGAATTCCATACCCCGCCACACTAATCACTTGTAGACTTAACATGCATTTTTATATCATTCAACTGCTATAAAAGAATGTTACACATAGCACATAAATTGCCCTTCTTAAATGTTCTTCAGAAAATACCAAATTATAATAATGACTCCTGTTGTTATCTTAGGTTCTCATTTACACATAGGGTATAAAATTCCCTGTTACTTATTTCTAAGTACTTACAGTCTCTGGTTACAATTCACATTTTCAGGAAGTTTTTTAATACTCCAATTCATAATCATACTAACTCATTCTGTCATCAATCAACAGAGGTACTAGAGTAAGCTCACAAACTGATATCCCCTCTTGGCATTTTTTTTTTAAATTGTTGCACCAAATGTTTGCCTTTTACTACTTTTTATCTGCCAGTGACTTTGAACTTGCCCAAATGACAATGGGTCAAGGTCAAAACACATCCTCGGGTCATAAGCAATTTTTGAGTCAAGTAAAAACTTCCAATGTTTCTCCATTAGCAAGTTATGGACTAGACAAAATTTTACATTTTTCTTTTTACCTAAAACTAGCCCAAACAATCTTTGGTCAAGGTTACAACACATACTTCTGTCATAACTAATCTTTGTGTCAGTATGAACTTCCAATGTTTCTCAACTACAAGATAAGGCCAAGACAGGAATTATAGATACTGTATTTTTTTTTTGCCAGTGACCTTGAACTTGCCCTAATGACCTTTGGTCAAGGTCATGACTCACCCTAAGGTCATAACTAATCTTTGTGTCTATCAAGATCTTCCAATATCTCTCCATTAGAAAGGTATAAAATGGAAATGACTAGTACAATATTTTGGCCACTGGCCTCAAACTTGTCGATAAATGACCTTAGGTCAAAATCATGACACATTCTAAGGGCATAAGCAATCTTTGTTTCCAGTATTAACTTCAACTGTTTGTCAGAAATTTATGAATCAGATAAAATTTGTAAACTTTTGCCAGTGACCTTGAACTTGCTCTAATGAAATTGATTCAAGGTCATGAACCCCCTCCCCCCTTTTGGTCAAGTATAAACTCCCAATGCTTCTCCATTGCATGATTTTACAGAAAGATGGACAGACAGATATACAAGGTGATTCCTACATAACCTCCATATTTCCTTTGCAGGAGTATAATCATTTAAGTATTAATCTATTAACCAACTACTTCTCTAAGTGAGTCTTGTATTAAACTTCTTTCTCAGTGTATCAAAAAAGCTACAAGACTTAATATAACAAAACAAAGTATTTGTTTTGAAATTTTTTTTTAGGTATCTATAATATACAAAAAAAAGTAGAAAAGTAGAGTATACAATGGGATGAAAATTAATATTTTTTAATAGTTATCAGATATTGCACCAATTCTAAAGCGGATATAAAAATGAACTTTCTCAATTTAAATAGTAAACAAAACACTCTGCAACCTCTGAATCCACATTCAACTTGAAACTAATATTTTGGAGGGAAAACAAGTCTTCAATAGGTACACTCACTTAACTATGCAAACGTGTGTAATTGAAGCTTGTCAAATCTCACTAAATGTCACCCTATTGACTCTCAAATTATGTAATATATGGATGAGTATACCACATCTGACATGTGACAAAACTAAACAGAATGACATATATACAATTTCTCTGCTTAGATCCGACAAAAGTGAAAAAAGAAGTACTTCATACAAAGCCTGGTCTGTATTGAATGACAAAGAGCCATCTTGTTTTACAGAGGAGTGGACTATATACCTGATATGATAGCTTAAAAATGTCTGTACAGATGACAAACCCAAATAAAATTGTTCCGAGATTTAATGTGAGGTAATCTTTTCACACATTTTAGAATACTCAATTTTGAATTTGATATAAATTGCTTAAGCAAGCGGAAATACCTGTCACGTTAATTTCATAAATGTGTTGAATACCTCTCCTATTAATAATATTTTTGCAAGATATCAAATTTCTTATTGTATATCAGTACTTGGACTCAAATCTTAAATGTCATTGTATATGTATATATGTTACACTAAAGGACAGTCTTCACACAGGTGATGGGAAACAAAAGCATCACACTGTGTTACAGTATGAGACAAATCACTTTGACTATTCTCTCATTACACATTTCTAAGAATACATGATTCTTTATCTTCAGTTCTCATTCTTCCAAATAATATTCATCAAAACACTATTTCCAATCTGCATTCTGATGCTCAGGTCCCACATTCATCAATCGGATTGTCTGTAGACCCAATATCATCGTCATTGTCACAACCCTCTACATTATCATTGCCTACTTCTTCACTATCATCCATCTCATCAGCTTTGGTCACTTCTGAATCCACCTCCCTTAGATCCCCCTCCTGCTTTCCTGTTTGATCTGTATCTATGTGTTCCTCATCTTCTGTTGCCTTTTCTTTATCTTTTTTCTGCTGCTTCTTTGCCAATAACTGGATTGCCACTTTTAAAAAAAATACAAATCTATAATTATCGCAAATCTCGCTTGAAAGTATACATTTCGACCGAAATAGTGTTGCGTTGGGTGATGACACTATTGGATTTGACTATTGAACAATTTGAATCACGGGTTACATTTTATAAAACATGCGTTTTAATTGGTTGATTAGGACCGGCCCACTCTCGTGTGGTATCTTTGCCTACATATATTTGGAATGCGTCCAACAGCCAAGCCAATATAACCCTGTTTGATGGTCGTAATCTGAATATGACTTTTTGAACTACAAAAAAAAAAGAAACAAACCGTAAAATCATATTTCAGCATGTGATATTCCTTTCACATACGGTACATGTATATTGTTCAATGACAAAAACTGTTTAATCCTACATGTATCTGCCGATTTCCTCTGCAATAAATTGACGGCATTTTCCATTTTCGGTGTTCGTTAAATTGAATAGTCTGTGCGACTTTTCGGCGCACTAAAAATCTTTTTCTCTATGTTTTAGTCTCCAGTGACTAAACAAGTGAACTATGTACACTGGGTAGGCAAACCCAAGCAAATTGAAAACTTGGGTATTATTGTATTTAGCATACCTAGCTGATACCAGAGCACTTGTTATTGAAAAAAATACTAACTAGTACATAATGTATATATCCATAGCTGGTAAAACACACATGAATCATCGGAATTATTCAAAAGTTTACTGTTTTATTGCCACAACTGTCAAAAATACCATGTTTCAAATGTGTGTGTGCTACTGCATACCCATTTTAACGGCTGTCATGGCAATAAACAAGCGACCAGAAAATTCCAAATCCTTGTGCTTTTTTTTCAGTGCATTTTTTTTTCTGTAACGGTGAATATTATTTGTATATTAATTATAAAATAATAGATACATGTATCATATATACTTGCATGTTAAAAATAAATAATTAAAAAAAATATATTAACCAAATCTAAGTACGCTGAATTTTATCAGTTCCCTGATTTTATTAATGTATTGAAGAAGAAAACGGGGGAAAACGGCCGTGTTTTTCAATCGCAGAAATATGCCCGGGGTACATGTACAGATGTATGAAGTTAACTCCTGCCAGTCCTGGCACAGATTTTATTTTCAAGACCATTTTACAGTTTTCCAACACTCACAATCATTTAATAAAGGTATTGCATAGTCCCACTTAATCACCAAAAGAAAATACTGCCCAAGCTCTTTTGCCCATTTTCTATCTTTCTTGGAAACGTTCCACGTTTTCGGCAACACATTTGAGAATGTGGGCGGACCTATAAAAAATGCACCAATCAGATTCTTTGTTGGATTTCGCAATGTTATGTCAGTCAGATTCAATTGTATTTCAGTCAGATTAAAAAGTGTCGTCACTCAACGCATCACTATTTTGGTTGTAGTGTATACTTTCAAGCAAGTTTTGCGATAAAAATTGTACTGCATTTCTGTTCTGTTTAAAATGTAAGGCTGATAAATCTGGTATACATAGACCAGCCACAACATATTATCATACAATCAACTACATATATTTAGAAATCAATATACATGACACAGAAAAGGTCTATCAACGTAAATTTAAAGCATGAGATTCTTCAGAGTCCATTATTAGAAGGAAACACAAATTCCCTCTGTCTTTCACCATAATACTGTAACAATCTATATTTTTCAATAATGACTTTGTGCATGTTTTCAAAATTCAAGGGCCATAATTCCTTTAAAGAAAACTAGACAGTTTCACAATTTTACACCAAACTTCAGTCCCAAAACATACAGGCTTATAAAAAGAAGTCTTCACAGGTAACTGTATCAAAATTCAATGGCTAAATTCCAATACAAATTAGTCAAATAGTACAAAAATTAAGCTCAGACAAAACTTTGTTATTATATAGCCCCATATCTTGCCTCACCTTGATATCTCAAGCATATTGCCTACATTATTATAGCATCACATGAACTTACAATCCTCTGCCAGTTTTTCACTGAACAGCCTTAAGTAATGGAACCTGAGCCCACTGTTGATGAAGGCTCTTACAGAAGTCTTCCCTCGCCAGCCACAAATCACCAGATCACAGGCCGGCCGCATCTCACTGTCAACAGAACACAACAATGTTAGACTGAATATAAAGCGGCCCTGTCTCACTGTCAATAGATCAACGTTAGACTGAATATAAAGCGGCCCTGTCTCACTGTCAATAGATCAACGTTAGACTGAATATAAAGCGGCCCTGTCTCACTGTCAATAGATCAACGTTAGACTGAATATAAAGCGGCCCTGTCTCACTGTCAATAGATCAACGTTAGACTGAATCCCTTAAGAGATTATACAAGTGGTCACAAATCAAAGTTTCTACAGGGTATACTGCACAGAATGTTGAACCAGGTAATTAATATGAGATTTGGGTCTTTAACATTTCTTTTCTGGAAATTACAGAATTTCTTTATCTTACTGCCACTGTGTTCACACAGAATATCAAAATTCATATCATCATTAAATTAGATTATATGCTTGAAGTGTAAGCACAACACAATAATTAATATCATTCATTGCTAACTGACATATAGCATATAATTGATATGTATACTTACCTATTTGATCCTTTGTACAGAAGTACTATGCTTCCAGTATCTGATAACAGAAAACAACATTGTTAGATTCTATACTCTTTTTCATTGTCTTCCATGGGATTCATTTTGATCCATTTGTTTTCCATTTAAGAAAAGATGTTATAAATTTCTCAATAAATTTACTTAATTCTTAGTAATCTCATTTCTTTAGCTCTACCAAGCATGTTTCATATCCCATGTTCAACATTCAGGTATTTTCTTTTTTATTCTATAATTCTTAAAATTCTATGGTCAGCTATTTTGTTCCATTTTACCCATATTGTGGAACTTCTGGCTGCCATCTACTGAGAAGTCTTTGAACAGGGGGTTTTCCTTGGTCATAGCCAGAATGAAATCATCCCTCGTCAGGATAACTGATCTCTTCGTAAGCAAGCTCCTCATTGTCACTAAGCCCTGACGAACAGAAGATTTTCAGTTGAATCATTAGGTATTCAGAAGCCTCAAATAAAATGTATTCTTTAAATCTTTAACTTACAGCTGATCATTAGTATCTACATCACTAGATAAGAAGATTATCAGGTAAATATGTAGATTATTAGGAAAATATGTAGATTATCAGGAAAATATGCAGATTATCAGAAAAATATGTAGATATCAGGAAAATATGTAGTTTATCAGGAAAGTATGAGATTATCAGGAAAATATGTAGATCATCAGGAAAATATATAGATTATCTGGAAAATATGAGATAATCAAGAAAATATGAGATTATCAGGAAAATATGTAGATTATCAGAAAAATATGTAGATTATCAGAAAAATATTTAGATTATCAGGAAAATATTTAGATTATCAGGAAAATATTTAGATTATCAAGAAAATATGTAGATTATCAAGAAAATATGTACATTATAAAGTAAAACACTAGATATGTAGATTATCAACAAATATGTTGAATACTAAAAATATTTCAAAAAATCAGGGAAACTTCAAAGCAAGTCAAGGTTCTTATCTGAAATAAAAACCTCAACCCCCAGATATCTGAAAGTACAGTAAAACTTGTCTAACCTGGATGTTGTGTATTCCAAAATCTTGCCTATAAGGTGCAAACTTTCAGTCCTTTGCAGTAATATCAATTGTGTCTAATCCAGAATGTTGTCTGATCTCCCTTATTTCTATGGAACCAGTGGTATTAGACAAATTTTACAGTACTCCCAATTTCCAGATCTCAAATTTTTATCATCAGAATTTTTTTGCTTTCATTCATATACTTCATCAGAATGATGTTAATCATCATGTTAATTATAAAATGTTAATTAGGACTAATTACCTCTTGAGCAATTCTATAATCACAGTCTGGAACAAGCGGGGACTTACTCCGACCAAAGACTTTCACCCCTAGGTTGATGAACTAGAAAAATAAAAAATTTTGTGTTATATATGTACTTTGTTTGTCTGCTAACATATAAAAATGTTTAAACTATGACCTGCTAATCACACTCAAAACTTAATATAGATATAAATATCAAAGAACATCATATAATCAAGTCAAAAATATATAAATATATAAATTGTTCTTCATTAAGAAAATTTGTTGTTGTAGTAGTATAGTATATTCTTACTTTGATTCTTTCGTTGTTCCTGCGTACCAGATCTCTGATGGCTGATGACACGTAATACAGCGTTCTCCTCTGACTGTTCTCAGCCCTGTACATAATCTGATTTCTCGGGAAATCATCAGGAATCCCGTAAAAATTCCTGAAAACAGAGAAAAAGTCATAATTTTCCAAAATATAAATCTAAATCACAACATAATAATTTAACAAGTTTACAGATTATATTACAGTTCTTTCTGTCGTGTCTTATTGACATCTATTTGAACGATTCAAGGTTAAGGAGCCACATGTTTGACCACCATGTAATAAAAATTATTATTCCTTTATTTATTTTGTCACTCGTAAAATATTTTAAACATCCCCATTCAGGTCATGTTTTGGTGACCTTTGTGCCAACCAATCAGCTAATTCCTTCTAAAGTCCTCTGTGGATTTTTGCATATATTTGCATAACAAATAATACTAAAGCATTCCAGGGTATTCTGAATAGCCAACCAAAATGTTGCATCCTCAACACCTCAAAAAAGTCTACAGTCTGTCTAATACATACTGCCTCTGCAGGTTTTCTCTTAAAGTTAATTGAAGAATTAGATCTTTTCCCAATCAACAAATAAATAAATGAAAAGCAAGTTGAAAGGGCTAATTCTACTTAGATTGGACATTAAACATAGAAAAGCCATTATCTCATTCACAAATCATTTACATGGAGGAATTCATTTAGAACAAAAAGCATACTAGTGTCCAGAGACTAACACTCACTTGATGGGGCCCCACATGGGGTCATCGTCCTCCAAGAAGATGTATGGATCCTCTTTGTAACCATGCAGTCGCCTGGACACCTGCTTAGATGGTTTGGGGCTGTAAATAGAAGGAGGAGATTGATTTATTTTAATGAAAGAATTACCATATTTCAGATAACATTAAAAGGAAAGTTAATGTCAAGGTCAAGGAAAGAATCGTCATAAACTTCTTGCAGTTGAAATGATCTCCAAAATATTTATATGTATCTGCAATGATGCAACGTATGTAGTTTGATGAACATACATTCAATGCTTCCTTTTTAAATAAGCTAAATGCAAAATGGTACAAGCCACAGTCAAATCCTCTGACACTGAGGGATGACTTAACAATGCAATTGTAATAACACAGATTGCCAATCACTGGGATAGTTGAAATAAAGGTCGCATTTTCCTGGTTATTGCAGGGTAACCTTCGAGGTCGAAAAATGTTGTTTGAAATGTAAAAGCTGTTACAGTTGAACTTCGGTATCTCGAACACTGATATCTCAAATACCATGGATATGTCAAAGTTATTTGGAAGTCCCCACTACTTATTTACGTATTTTACCCTGGATATCTTGAATCATCGGATATCTCTAAGTTTTTTCTTGGTCCCATGGAGTTCCAGATAATGAGGTATGACTGTATTTCATTTACTAACAGCTCTAAAATACTGCTGATCGTTTTCTCTATAAAGACACAAATTAGGTCACCATGTCTTGATTTGGCTGTTCCATGTAACACCAGCCTCGTTTGTTTACATGTGTATCAACTGCAAAGCAATGCAGATGATTAAAACTTTTGTTGGATTACAAAAATCCTTTTATCATTTATAACTTTGTTTGCAACAAACATAAATTTTTATGATTATATGTATAAAATAGCAAATCTTGTCAATTTCATTGATTAAAAATTCATGGAGTGTAAATGTTATGGGGAGGTCCATGAACAGCTATAAAATAGATGTTTGTCCGCTGTTTAAGGCAATACACAACATGTAGATTGTAGAGGACAAGACAACATAGTTTAAATAAGTATTCATTCTAAGATCATATTTTAATTCTCCGTTACAAGTTTTAAATATGTTTCTAATCTGATAATCTTTTGATGATGTTTATGATTTATAGGAGAATAATGGTCGCGACATTACTTTGATCTCGGGAATAACAATAGTAGAATAGTTAATTTAGAGTAAATACAATTAAACATACATCATCTATTGATATGGGAGAATTAATACAGTAGCAGGTAAAAAGCTTAAGAAAACATCGATCAATGAGGGGTGCTAACATGAATTACTTCAAATCTTCCTCCTCCTCTGCTGGTCTCTTTTTTGTTCTCCCATCTTCTGGGTCCTTCAATGGAGGATTGCTGTCCTCGGCCTTACCCTCCTTTGCCTCTCCTCCATTTGTGGTACTCGTCTCCACTGTTTTGTTTTGTTCTTTCTGTTCTGTGAAAATGGAATAAGCTCTTATATTTCTACCTGATATACACATTGTTATGGCTATTTCTCTTACCCTTTTTACAAATTAATGGGAAAAAAGATGTTTCCTATTACCTGTGTTTGCTGGTGTTTTCTTCTGTTGCCATGGTACTGTAGAGTTTTTCCTCAGGACTGCAATAAAGAACCCTCCTGTATCCTGTTGATGTGGTAACACTCTCATACTGAAACAAACAAAAGATGTGAAATTATACTGTAACAGACAAACGATGTGGTAACACCCTCATACTGAAACAGACAAAAGATGTGGGAACACTCTCATACTGAAACAGACAGATGTGGTAACACTCTCATACTGAAACAGACAAAAGACGTGGTAACACTCTTATACTAAAACAGAAGATGGTAACACTCTCATACTGAAACAAACAAAAGATGTGAAATTATACTGTAACAGACAAAAGATGTGGTAACACCCTCATACTGAAACAGACAAAAGATGTGGTAACACTCTCATACTGAAACAGACAATAGATGTGGTAACACTCTTATACTGAAACAGACAGAAGTGGTAACACCCTCATACTGAAACAGACAGATGTGGTAACACCCTCATACTGAAACAGACAGAAGTGGTAACACCCTCATACTGAAACAGACAGATGTGGTGACACTCTCATACTGAAACAGACAGATGTGGTAACACCCTCATACTGAAAGAGATAGAAGTGGTAACACCCTCATACTGAAACAGACAGATGATGTGGTGACACTCTCATACTGAAACAGACAGAAGATGTGGTAACACCCTCATACTGAAACAGACAGATGTGGTAACACTCTCATACTGAAACAGACAGAAGGGTAACACTCTCATACTGAAACAGACAAGAAGGATGTAATGCTATAGTTCTTCTTGTATTGTTTTATTTGGCTGTTCTGTTTTTAATGTTCTTGATAAAAATGACATTTTGCCTGTGCTGACAAAACATGATAAGTTTATCAAGTCTTTTTTCTTTAGCACTGGTAACTAATCCTAAAGCCATATAAAGTTTTAGGATCTACTTTGAGTGCAACTTTATTGTAAACCATTTACAGTTTACATGCTCCTGTAATTCATTTAGATACAAGTCTTCATTTCAAGACACTTTACTGAGTCACTGAAATACAGCAAAACTTGTTGAATCCGGATGTTGTGCATTCCGGCATGTTGTTCAGTCCGGCGTAATATTTTAGTCCCTGGAATTTTCTTTATAATTTATGTTTAATAAATGTTGTGCAGTCCGGATCTTGCCTATTCTGTAAACCGGCCGCTATTTAAAGAACTTACTGCTCATAATTAGTACAAATTATCACCTCTAATCCGGCCACTTATTTATACCTGTGCCCGCTGGTCATTAGAGATGTGGGGTAATTATTGTCCCGTTAATGTATCGACAGTTTAGATTTTAACAAACGTGATAAAAAAAATTATTAATGGCTCAAGTAAGGCGAGGAAACTCGCAAAAGAATGAGTGATATTTATGGTTGCGTGTAGCATGTCTGTAGAAAAACTTGGAGACTTTTCTACTTTCGTTTTGCGTGCACGATGTGCAATTCGAATTACTTTCCTTTGTGTCGCTAGTTTACAACGACCTAAGCGACAGAAGATTTTGGTTCAATATTCATTACCATGATTACATGTATAACATATGAAATTAACAAATACAGTGTCTAAATATTCAAACATATTAATTTTAAAAGAAAGAAATTAATTAGGAATCTGTCCCTAACAAAATAATATTTACAGCTACGGTAAGGTTTTTGAGTGTATTTAAAACATTTAACGATTTTCAAATTTGATAAATGACCAAGAGATATTATATTTCGATACTGAATAAAAAACTTAAACAGAAATGAAAATTCTGAAGAACAAACAGAGTTCAAAACAAACGGAAATAGACAATTTTTTCAAGTGAAACGTAAAAAATGACACATTTGATCAAGTATTTATTTACCACTCTTTGTTTATATCTATGTAATTTTTAACTTGCTATAACGGTTCAATTTTCTCCAATCCGGATGTTGCCTAATCCGGCCAAAAATTTTGGAACCACTGGTCGCCGGATTAGACAAGTTTTACTGTACTAATATTTTTTGTATTTACAGTTGATATTGTTGAAGTATTTGTGTGTGATGCAGTGACTGATTTTCCCAAAACTTGCAAAAGTTCATGGTCAAGTTAAAGCTCCCCATTTCATGTTGCACTTTGTACAAATCCTAGAAACCAACAAGTGTTGTAGGATCTACTTGAGGTGCATGGTAATAAAAAATTAGCAATAAAATAATATCTGATGCAAACAGCTAGTCAATATGCTTCAGAAAGAATCAGAGAATTGGTTATCTTATCTTAAATTATGTACATATGCAAGATAAAGTCATAGGAACCACTTCAGGGGCAAAATACTTCTACATTGACTTATAATCTATTTTACTTATTTTTAAGTCGCCCGCGTGGCGCAGTGGTTAGAGCGTCTGCTCTAGAGTCGAGAAGTAAGGAGTTGATCCTTACGTCGCGGGTTCGAATCCCACTGTGGGACGTGGAGACCGGTTCTTTGGATGAGACCGTATAAACCGAGGTCCCGTGTCGCAGTAGGTGCTGGCACGAAAAAGATCCCTCACTGCTCAATGGCTGTCAGTGCCGAGTACAGGACAAAATTTGCAGCTCTCCACCGGCAAGTGGTGGTGTCTCCATATGAGTGAAAAATTCTCGAGAGGGACGTTAAACAACATACAAACAAACAAACTTATTTTTAAAATTTTTAAAAATCATAATTTTGTTACATTACACTGAAATGCTGAAATTCCTTTTTTATCAACAATAGATAATAAAGTGCCCAACCTAATCATGAAACAGATATTTTCAACTATCTGCTGCAAATGTTTTCAACTTTCTGCTTTTATTTCTGAATAGTTGGTTATGAATACACATAATGTATTTACAGGTTGTTAATCACACACACATTATTTTGAAGGAAATTAAATGCTTTAATTTACATTTGATTTCATCTTTGTGTGTATAGCCACTGATGTCACATGTATTATCAAATTTACTACAAGTCTTTCTTGATAAATGCTTAATGATTACCTTTCTTTCTGTAGAACTACTAGTACATAGGTCAGAATATTCCCTTTTCTAATGAATTTCAGTATTATCTTTTGTGTTAAAATGTCTGTGAAAGTTGTACCCAGAATTCATTTGAGTTCCAGGTTAGATTAACCTCACAGTTTTATATAGCACCCTGTACAAATTCTAAAACCAATGAACTGTCTTAGAATCTACTTGTAGTGCACCATAAAGGAAATGGTTACATGTACCACTAAAATGAAAATGACAGTTAACATCTTTAAGTTCTTCAATATTCCTCAGGTTAACAATCAGGTGAGAGACTATTGTTAAGAATTTTGACCACACAATGACATAAATCTCCCTTTATTTCATTTAGAGAAATAAATTTTTTGGAACAATATACAGACATATATCTAATTCCTGTATACAACACTACCAGAGAAAGCAAAGGGACATAACTTTACCAATTGAAACATTACAATCTGTGTATACACATTTAATTAAAGGCTATTCCAATAAAAAAAAATCTACCCTTACACAGGATACCAGAAAATTTCAGGGAGTACTACCCAATGAATTTTTTTTTTCTTGAAATGGAACCATGCATAGAATTTAATTTTTTTAATACAGGGACCTCAGACAGAAGCAGTTCATTCATTACAAAATTTTTGGTAGTGATTACAACTAGTAACCTTGGTAGTAATAGCAACTAATGAAAAAAGGTCAAGATAACTAACAGTACATAAAACACGGACCCCCGGAAATACCAGAGGTGGGATCAGGTGCATAAGAGGAGTAAGCATCCTATGTCCATGGACAGATGTAAATTACCCACTTGAACAATCCAACATAGAATTGATTTATTCGTCAGCACCCCCATGAACAGAAGAGATTTTTTTTTTTGCTGTCCTGGGGTTAGGTAGATTTTTTTTACTAGAATAGCACACTTAAACAATGGGACACAACTTAAAGAAAATGTTACCATCTGTGTAGGTTTAATTTTTCACTTTCCTCCTTTGTTGGTGGGAACATGGAGGGTTGGAAATGAGTGTAGTTTGATACAGACTCGTAATCATCAAAAAACTGACTACCGTCTTTAGTCATCATCTGTAATGGAAATGACTGTAGTTAGATACAGACTCAGTGTCATCAAAAAATTGACTACCATCCTTAGTCAACATCTGTAATGGAAATGAGTGTAGTTAGATACAGACTCAGTGTCACTAAAAAACTGACTACAATCCTTAGTCATCATCTGTAATGGAAATGAGTGTAGATAGATACAGACTCGTAGTCACTAAAAAAAACTGACTACAATCCTTAGTCATCATCTGTAATGGAAATGAGTGTAGATAGATACAGACTCTAGTCACTCGTAGTCATAACTGACTGCTGTCCTTAGTCATCATTTGTAAACAGAGAGTACCGTATTCAAATCTGATAAAATGTTTGATTATATACAAATTTTTCTATCAACTTAAAAACTTCTCTATGCTGAAGAGTAAGGAATTAATTCAATTGCTATATCAAACCTACTGGATAAATTTAAAAAAAAAAAAAAAGGAAAACAAAGATCACCCATGATCATAACTAATAATCGTGTAACTGACAAAAAACACATAAGGGCAACATCTCTTGCCAATTATTATTTATGTTATAATTATATGAAATTACCTCTGATAGATTCAGTATTTTACGTAGACACTACTTACCTTCCACTGTGAAATTCCTGGTGTATATTTGAGATTCTTAATTTCCTCACTTACGTCAACCAGTTCTACTGAACCTGAATAAAACAACAAAGGAAATGTTAGACTCAGGAGTTACTCTTAACCTTTACTTTGCTACAGCTCTAAAACATTAAAAATTCTAAATTGAGTGAGCTCACAAAATGACCCCCCCCCCTTTTTTTTAAAATGTCATTTCAAATTAAAATGTGACCTTGAATTTGCCAAAATTACCTTGGTTAAAAAATGACATATCATCTGGTCATAAGTAATCTTTTAGTGAAATATGGACATCAAATGTTTCTCCATTAGAAAATTCTAGACCTGTCACAAATATTATACTTTTTATATCAGAGACCTTGAACTTGCCAGAGTGACCTTGGGTCAAGGTTAGGACACACCTTCAGGTCATTAACAATTTTTGTACCAGGTATGAGCTTTTAATGATTCTCAATTACAAAGTTAAAGCTCAAAAAAGAATTCTATACTTTTTCTGTCAGTGACCTTGAATTTGTCAAAATGACCTTAGGTCAAAGTCAAGTCACACCCACAAGTAAACCATTTTTGTACCAAGTATGAGCTTTAAATGATTCTTCATTACAAAGGTATAGCCAGGTCAGGAATTCTGTACTTTTTTGTCAGTGACCTTGATTGAAGGTAAAGATACACCCTCAGGTCATGAACATTCTCTGTACCAAGTAAGAGCTTCTAATGATTCTAAAGATTCTCTATTACAACAATATAGCCCAGAAATTTTTTTTTAATAATTTTTCTGCCATTGACCTTGAACTTTCACTTTTCAACAATTGCTATTCATATATCTAACAATGAACTAATTTTTAGTGGCAAATTATTTTCCAAGCTTGCTTTGTTTAATTTGTAGTCTTTTTTTAAATCAGGAAGTCTTATTTACCTCCTAAAATGGAGAGTCTCATTGTATTACAGTATTGGAATACGAAGATTGGCATTGTCATGAAGTGCAATTTTTATTTTTTAATTAAGCATGTGAATCTACATGAAAACTAAACAATAACAACAACTTAAGGCTTTCAAAATATGAACTTCATTTTGGTTTTTACTAGATTTATATATTCAATGGTCTAAAAAAAAAAAAAGAACAGGAATTGAAGTCAGTAAATTACTCATTAGTGGAATAAATATTTCTTAATGTGCGTTCCATACTTTTTTCATTATCACGAGTCAATAATCAGACGAAAGACAGACAGTTCATTAAAAAAAGGATATGTGTTATGTATGCTAAAATAGGAAAATACTGTGATACAATGGAACCCCCGATATAATGAGAATGGAGTATATATCTTCACACTTTTAATAACTTTTAAATATATCTATCAAATGTAGAAATCACCTTCACACTTTTAATAACTATCATCAATTTTTATTTGTGAAATTTTCATTTACACATCATTAGGCAAAAGTGTCTTCTCACAAAAATTTTATTCTTGGGCATATTTAAACTGTTAAGGATAATATACAACAATAACCATAGCTCATGAAAATTTTATCTTGCTTATAAATATGTACCAGATTGCCATCTCACAAAAATAAGGTGTCGCAAAAATTTAGTGATCCACAATATCAAAGGTAGAAATCACCTTCACACTTTTGTAACATGCCAGCAATAACAGCCTCGTCTTCCACCGGGTTGAGAGAACATGTTGAGTACACCAGACGACCTCCGACCTCCAGCAAGTCTAATCCTCGCTTCAAGATCTTGGCCTGAATTCTGTAAGATCAACAATCATGAAGATAGAACTAACTATAATATGTAATGCACTATCCTTGTTACTTGTAAGGTGTTTTTACTTAATTCAAAAACATTACGAAATTTCTTTACATTTATTGCTAAAGCTTGCCTTTTAAAAGCAGAAACTATTTCATAAAATACTGTTAAGTATTTCCGTTTTGGAGATAATAGGAAAGGAGATACATAATGTACCCGTGTAAGTTTATTCCTTGGTTTGGTGTCCATTTCGTCCAGATATCCTGATTTTTTCTCAGAGTTCCGTCTCCACTACAAGGGACGTCACACAAAATACGATCGTACTTCACAAACTCACGAGGGCCATCCTGTCAACCAATCACAAAAGATTTTTATGAATATATATTCACTTATAACATTTTTGAGACCAACTAGAAAACAAATGAAAAGCCTGAAAGCCTTCAAAGGCACTGAACAAGAAAAACAATTTCAAAATTTCTTTTTGAATTTTATATAGAGTTTTAACTTTAAACAAAATGTCACAATTACACTTTTGGGGTCTTATGCCATGGTCCAAATAGAGCAGGGTTCGAATTACCCAGAAACCATCGAAAGTAAACATGTTCATGCTGAAATTTAACTCATCTTTCTTCAGTCAGTTGAAAAACTAGGAAGGATTTATTGAATTTATATAATATTATTTTAATTATCAATGTATTGAGCATTGTATTAGTGATTTCACCTAAACTACAACATCCATGTCTCTGCTATGACTACAAGTTACGATTAGGCATGGTATAAAGTATATTATTATACTTCTGTTAAAATGTTTCCTATATAAAGTTAACAAGGTAAAATAACTATCTTGTATAGTCTGAAAATTTCCACGGATAGCAAAGCTATACCTGGGGTATAGTTTGTGCTACCCACCCTCGGAAAAATTTCATGCAATTTTTGCCGCCAATTTTGATTTCCTACATAGATGATGTTATCCTGACTTCAATAGCATTGTGACGTCATCAGGATTTCAGCTCACTCTAGCAGTGTTATCTTATTCCAAATACTTGTTCAAAACTTTAATAATTATTCTTTCCATGTTTTGCCTATGAAACTGTAGTATCAAGTAATACAAACCCTTAGAAATTATGATATACATCAGTACAATAAAACACTTATCCACTGGCTGTGTGTGGGATAGCTCTTTCATCAAACCCTTGACAGGAACTATTCCCCTCGGGCAAGCCCTCGGGGAATAGTTCCTGTCGCTATCCCACACACAGCAAGTGGATAAGTGTATACTATGAAATGGTGGAAATTGAGACATCCAGTAATGTAGGTCGATATCTTCAATTTTAATGGTAAAATTGGTTATTAAATTGTAAAAGTAACGTTGAAATTTGTAGTTCAATGTTTTTAGTCCTCCAGTATTTGTAATACTGTAATTTTGTGATTATTTTACCGCGTGGTGGGTTGTTTCTTTTACATGGTTATCCTTCTGAAATGTTATTCATGTCATTCAATGCACTGCTTCATTTAGAAATTCATCCGCTACAACTATCATGTTTTCTTGTGTGAAATTAAAGTATCAGTGTTTAGTAACAGAATTAATTGTAGATATAATTGATGCCATTTTATTTTTAAGTTATTACCGGGGTATTCATTGTGAATTTCATTTTCGAAGAAACTGATTTATTGCTATTGCTATTTTCTTTTGCGGATGCATCCAATGAGTCACACCTTTGGTTGCGTAGCGATTTAGATGGGATGCTCACTAGATGACATTAAAGCTCTGCTCAATGACATAAAAAGTAATAAAAGGCCCTGGCTTCGGGGCCACCAACGCTGAGATTTTCTCAAATCTGAGATTTCTCAGAAAATTTGAGTTTTTCTCACCAAACTGTGCCACCAAACAAATATTTTCTCAAACTCAGACTAGTCTTTTGAGTTTTTTCTCAAATCTGAGATTTTTTCTCAAGTCTGAGATTTTTCTCAAACATGCGTGCCACCAACGTTTTTTTGGACTCAGCTGAGAAAAAAATCTGAGATTTCTCAGAAAATTTTGAGATTGATGTATACCAGTCTCAGACAAAATCTCACAGAATTATTTTATGGTAAAATAATCACAAATGTTATGACAGTGAACATTTTAATCCATGAATACACGAAATTAACACACAATCACAGAAATAATGTTCATTTCTCCCAAAACTTGATTCTCCTGTGAAGAGGGGGTGTCTGAATTATACACAGGTAAACTATTCTTACTATAATATTGTCCACGTATGGAATCAAGCACTTCAAACTTTACTAAAAGCATAAAAAATAAAGAGTAAAAGGAATATAATTATTCCAGTGGCATGTTATACATAACATTTATATCTTCATTCATGTAGGAATTAATATAATTAATTAAATTCATATTTTAATGTGCTATTTGTGGCATGACATTTTTATTATATGTAATTCACAATGTTCTTGTATATCAGTAAAGGAAATATGACTAGATAAGATATAAAACCTCCTCGGTCCCGTCTTTGTTTTTTTCCCCCGGTAGTTATATTTTATTATTATACCTCCGTATAGTGTATAGTCGGCTGCGCCTCGGGAAATAGATGCTGTATTGGGGAACGATAAACTTGCTATTGTCCTCATAGCCAGTTAATAGGTGTATACTGTTTATAAGTGTAAATTATACGCAAATATTAAAAGAAATCTGTCTAACATTTCATGTACAAATATTTCTGTTCTTTGGAAATAATATGTACATTTTGTAAATCACAATTTATTAATTACAGATGATAGTAGTCCGTCTAATTTGGTTCTTAACTAAATCTATAAAATTCTTAATTGATAATTTGGATCGAATTTAAATACTCTCTATGCATTGTGCGTAAACATAAAATCCTTGACAGTTTATAGTATTTATAAGAATAAATTCGTTTTATGTCCATTCTGAGATACATAATTCACAAGAACTGCATCTATTCAAATGTACTTGCATGAATGATTTTTTTTAACAAACAGTAATTAGGGGAATATTTTAAATTGACAACTTACATTTTGAAACCTCCCAAAAAGTGTGATCCTTTGTTTTTAAAAAATTTACATCATTACGCAGTGAAACTTTTATTTAATATGATATTAGAAATTAATCAGTTTCTCATTATCGATGAGCACATGCGAGATTGACTTGGGTTTCCAATATAACGATGATTATTTGTCAAGTGGTGTTATATTCGTTGTTTATTATTTATCTAAAAATAGAAATAAAGACTTTCCGAGACATTATGTCACAGGGGATCATAGAAAAATGCGATGTGTTAGTTTGCCTCTTCCCTATTCATGCCCTTAGTTCAAATTTTAGCGGGTTTTTCTTCCTTTGGGGGGGGGGGGGGATGAACTGAAATTCCCCGACAATTAATTAAACAGTTCCTCGAGAAATTTTCTTGACAAATGATCCTGTAAAACTAAGTATACATATGTTACCCGCTCATGTTCGCTGTTCATATTATCACATTTATCCACACTTATGGAAAACTCGCAAAATTTATTACAGCATGTGAGAAATTTGGCTATATAATTATATCGACTATCGAACTTTTTTTGGGATCTGCATGCTAGAAAAAAATCACTCAGGTTTATTCTAAATACAAGTAGTCCCTAGATATACCATGATATCTAACACATAACAAAAGAAAGAAAAATGTGTTTCATCAAAATGATTTAATTTAATCGGTCAGGGAAATATAGTGATCCGCCTACCTGCTACACGTAACGTCACAATGGCGGAAGTGACGCCTCGGTGTATGTTTTTGTGTGTTTATGTCGACAGACGAGCTAAGACTACAAAATTTGGATATTTTTTTGTCTTATTCTTCTGTAGGGATTATTTTACTTGGGTTCGATGAACATTTATTGTCACAAATGTCGTAATGGAATCCTTTCTGTTGAATGACCCGAAACAGCAAATAAAAGACGAAGGAAGTGGGGGATGTGTTTTTATCGCGATCTATACACGAAAATATTGCATAAACAACTGAATAAAAGGTAAATTCAATCATTGAATCAACATATTAGTGCATTTTTCGCAAAAAGGTCGCATATAACAACGAAAATAAATCTAAGATTTTTCTCAAATCTCAGCTTACGTGAGACGAATCTCAGAAACGTTGGTGGCACGGTGTTTTAGGAAAATCTCAGGTGAGGCAGAAATCTAAGATTTGAGGTTGAGATTTGAGCTGAGATTTTTATGTGTTGGTGGCCCCGAAGCCTGCAGTATTTGACCTTCTAGAAATGAGCATGAAAATCTCTGGGTTTCCTTTTGTGTAATGACACTATATGAGGTCTGTGCATTGAGGTATACTCTGGCTATTCTTGCTGTATAAAGGTGTGCTCGTGGGGAGGAAATGACCTTGACCTTCTACCAAGTAGTAGTACCCCCAAATTTTAAGGATATGATGTCAATTTTCAAGTTCTCATGTCAAATTAGTATTGAAATACAGGACACCTCGGTGGTTGATGATTACTGTGAGGCATCAGCATTTTCATGCTGGGCTGTATAAAATGTTACCAAGCTATCAAAGTCATCACTAATGTTAAATTATTGTATTCCTTTTCCATTTTGAAAATTAGACACCATCAAACAATTCTTTTTAAACTAATTAAGATTTTAATTAAGAATCTATCATTCAAAGATTCTAAAAAAAAGTCAGTAACGAGCAATGAGTTACCCCACATCTCAGATTAGGCAGGTAGGAAGCATCATGATTAATGATGGCACAGCAGGGACTGTTTAACCTTTTGACCTGATGAGTCATCAAGTAGCATCGCTTGTTGTCCACATCATTGGCAACCACATAACCCTCTGAAAACAAAGCAGCCATGTCAATCTGGTTTCCACATCAACAAACAATTCATTAATGCTAACTACTGAAAAAAAATTGAGTCTTTCAAATTCAAAGTTACATAAATTTGAAACGTTAGTGTACCTGGCATTTCATTGTCTGGAGTGTTGTGTAGATACTCAATCAGCTGAGCTGTTTTTGAACCAGGAGCAGCACACATATCTAAAACCTAGAAACAAAATTATACATATTTAGAGAATGTTCAAAACAAGTCTATATTTACAGTTAAATACAACTTTGTATGACAGCTTGTCTTTTCTAGTACTTATAAAAGCAAATAATTATCATTTCATCAAGAAATGGGTGGACTGGACTTTTTGTGATGGGCTATGGTTTATCACGTTTTATTCATCCAGAGGTACCTACCAAGTATATTTACTTGCCCATATACCAGGTACTGTGATGTATCAATACTTATTTATCATTCGAAAGTTTTATAATATTAATCATGTTGCAACCTGCTTGTTATATGCATGTTGATGTTGATACTTCTAAATTTAGTCTGATTTTTTTATAACATATAACAGCTCGCTACCTTGTGATGTGGCTTTACGTCCATCAACATTGGTGGTATCATTGATACAGCTTCTTGTCTGCTAATACTGCCCTATATCATGAAAAGTTCACAAAAGGAAAGTCAGTCAATAAACTATACATTTATTAAGCCTCAAGAGACCAAACAATTTCAGTAGAAGAGATCTTACACTTTCAGTTTCCTGAAGAAGAAATGTCTTCAATTTTTCAAACCGTGCATCTTTCCGAACTTCCTGTCTGGATGAATTTAATTGCCATCCAAGTTCATCTGGATACCTAATTTACCATTTTGGGGGGGAAAAAATTCTAGATTCTAATAAACTGATTTAATCATTTTTGAAAATAAACCTCTATAGTTACAGTAAATAAAATGCTATACATTAGTCCATGTTTTTACCATGGCAAACACACAACTTTTGGCTTGTCGCTCGATGACTTCTCTTCTAAAAGTTTTCCAATGTACTCTGTTTTTACCAACTTTTTCAACTCTTCTGTTTCCCTGGAATAGAATAAAAATTCAAAGATTTAAAGCCCATAAAAGATCCAACAAAAAATAAAGAACAAATAAAAAACCTCTGCATAGCAAGTACACCCCCCTTCCCCTCAGTATATAAAAATACAATATATGTAAAATGCATGAGATTGTGTACAAAATTTTTAATTTATTGTAAATAATTTGAATTGTTTATCTCTATACACTAGATTTTTCTGAGCTCCATCCTTTTATAGTAACTATTTAAATGTCTTGACCCACTCCTATGTAATAGAGAAACCATAGTCTGTTCTTGGGAAAATGTTCCGGAATTTTTATATGCAATAGGTGTTAAATATGAGCTTGTCTTTTTTGACATGTGAAATTGTTCATTAAAGATGTACAATGCTTTAATTACAAATACTTTTTTATACATCATGGAAATAAAAATTATACAATATCCTCATGTTTAACCAGTAAAATAAGGGCAAAAAAAAGGGACCATGCTACTAAACTTAAATGGAAAATGTCTGTGATGCTGAAAAGACAACAAATCTCTAACTTGGAGGATTCCAATGTGACACTCACCCACCAAAACTAGTGATTCTGAAGGTGATTGGTAGGGGCTCCCGAAGGGCATTCATAAAGGCGTCCCATTCCTGTTCTGGTACAATTCCAAGTTCCTATTAATAGATATCATATCAATTTCTTGCACACAGATGACAAACATTTCATCAATACATGGACACTTCTAGGAGATGACCAGTAGAGTGAATAAATAAAATCTTACTTAATGATAAATAAAATCTTACTTTATAATACTTTTCAAACAGCTTGTTTTCCCTCACCGCTGATTGATATCCTTTCTGCAAATATAATAAACAGAGACATGTATACATAACATGTTTGTTTTTGTCTGATAATATTACAGAAAATTTTAAAAGCAAGCACACTCCCAATGCGAGCTCTAATGACAACACATGGGTGAAGAGAAAATTTGGACTTTACACATTAATCCAAATGAATTTTTTTTCCTCAGTTACCTCAAGACCCATAATGCAATGTAAATGCATCTCTCTGTTAACTTTGTTAAAAGTCAAAAGTCTAAAGATCTCCAACAGACAGTCTATGCGAAAGACATCGGACCGTCGGACCTGACCGATGTGCAGTGCCTCTGGTCTGATGAGTCATTTTTTACACCGGACCAGAATGTCCAATGTCTCAGCATCCGGTTTTGAGCTTTATTATTTTGATGCGGCATCATTCAAATGTTTGTTGTAAGTAAAAAAATATCGCACAAATCCAAATACGTAAATGAATGTGATTAAAACTGCATGGACCGTCTACAGTAATAAGATTTCCTTGGTTCTGCATTTTCACTTATTTCACTTTTTTAAATTAGGTTTTTCGGTCTGACAAAATTTGGTTCGGTCCTGTGTGTTCATTGATTACATAGGACCAAATGTCCTGTGTGATCCAAAAAACTCTCCCATAGACTGAACAGATTCTCACACATGTTTTTTAAAGACTCCAAGATTTCATATTCTGTACAGTCATGATCTACAAATAACTTTCTTTTGGCATGTCAACATCAACAGTGCGACATCATCAATTTAAGCGTCATCTGTGTGGGTTGAAATCATTCATAGTTTCACTGGGATTATCTCAAAGTTTGTTTAAAACAAAAATCGTATGAGATAAATAGAACACCTATAATTGTGTGATTTGATATTTGCTTTATCCAACTCATTGAAATGGGTGTATATTCGTGCGGCAAGCTGCACAAATATACACCATTCAACTCACTGGATACAGCAAATATCAAATCACACAATATAGATATCCTCTTTATACAACTGCGCTTGCCCCAACTGTTGCACCATCAACATATTAATGAAATGATTAGCTGATTTTTAAACTTGCATTTTTTTGTTTTGTTGTTGCAGAGACATATAAAAAACCTCTGGTTGTTGTTGTTGTTTTTTTTTTTTGTTTTTTTTTGGGGGGGGGCTTGCTTTTTATTGGAAGTGTTGTGCTCTCCTTCCCCATACAGATCTAGAGTTCCGTAAGAAGCTAGAAGGGAATTTCACAATGAACATGAAGGATTCGGTAACAGACATTTAATTTACCCCATCTCTTTCCCGTTTGTTTTTATTTGGTCTTGGTCGCCTTCTACCCATTATTACTGTCATCTAATAAGCAATCTATCAGGCGTACTGCACCATAATCATCATCATAACGGTGTGACGGGTGTCCGAACACATGTGGAGTATTACCGGAAACAGCAATGTAAAATCAAAAACCTAAAGGTAATGGCAGTATCAGTATCTGGACATTGTGACATAAAAAAATTACAAGAATATTGTTCATCGCAAATATAATGATTGAACTTTCGCCTCTTTTAATTTTCTTTTTCTATCTTATTTTCTTCTTTTTTCTTTTTCTTTTGGTTTAAATAGGGGGGAAATAAATAGACTTACATTTTTTCCCGGAAATATAAGCACCATGATACTCTAAATTTAGATTCAGAATGGTATTTCCAGTGAAAATTTGTACAGATTTTCTTACAAAACATGCAAAGTGATATGAAATAGATACAATTACAGTGTTAAGGTAAAAGATTAAGTAAGATCATACTGTCTATCTTGTACTAGGACTTAAGTTATATGAGATATTAACTAGATTCTGAAAATTTTTGATGGTGCGTACTTTTGTTCATTTTTATCTGTGCATATTGAGAAAAATGGATGTCAAAGGTGGTACATGTATAAATGTCTCTGGTACAGTATGGTAAGGTGATAAGTTACAATATCAAAAAAGGAAAAGTGTCATCAGTTAGACTGGAAAAACTCTAACACATACCCAATACTACTGCTAAATGTGCAGAATGTATGTCAGTTTGTCATCATGGTCATGAAACATGTTTGCCCTTGACACTGTACGCCCTAGTTCGCATTTGTCCTGTGACCATTCATTCTAATTCTTATTCGTCCTAGGTCCATTTGCCCTATTTTAATGTTAAAGCATTAATTTTCTCAATATATTGAGGGTTAGTGCAGATAACACTTCGGTATCTTCGAATGTGACATTTGAACGTCTAGACGCTGACGTCACATGATGTCATATGTAAGTTGCATTCTGAAAGTTGCAAAATTTAATAAAGAATGTTTTAATATACTATTAATCTACAATATCCATTAAGTCAAGGTGAGTTTATTTTATGACGAGCTTTTGTTGATACTATGAGAACGTAGTTTGTGGCGAGATGCATTTTGCAAAGGATTGCAGGTTCAGATGCTAATGTAAAAAAAATCATTTGGATCAATGTGCAAAGTTGGAATTTTTCTTTGCATAGGCATTGTCATTAGAGCTCACTATACTTACTAATTATGTTTTATTTCATTGAATTGTATTAATTCTTTTGAACCCTGCACTGTATATATATATTATCATAATATATTACATTTGTGCAAGTATATTTGAAAAAAAATCGCACATGATTTAGATCTAGAGTTTTTTATGTTCTATCAGACCTGAAAGTTTTATGAAAAATGAGCTAGACGTTTCCGAGAACTCGCAGGCACAAAATCAGTGAGAAAAAAAAAATAATAAAAACTGTGGAAAAGAAACCTAAGAATAACAAGAAGGTCTTTCGCTGAAGATGGAAGACCTTTATAATAGTGAAAAAGAAACAACAGAATAATAAGAAAGTCTTCCGCTGAAGACGGAAGACCATAATAAAACATTAACCTGGCTGCAGTTTAAGGTTTCATGCTCTTTTGTCTTACCCATGAAGAAGAATTTATACAGTTATCTTCTTTTTATACTGAAATTTTTAAAGTTGACCTTTGGTGACTTTTTATTTGTTGTAACAACACATCTGTGATGTAATAGGTCCCATCCAAATGCCAATCAGTAGCAATATCACATTGTACTGGTTAGTTAACATGATTCTACACAAGTAAATCCTCCAAGGTTAAAAACAGAATCATTAAATTTTATTTATGGTGATAAAGTCACACAGATTTAGCATGAACACTCATCTTAAATTTCTTTGCCTGAGATGAAACTACAAATAATAAAAATACTTGATTTCTACATAAAGTTACTGGTTCATCGATAGGCGTGGCATGAGAGAGAGAGAAGTAGGTGGGGCTTGGAGCACATAAATTTAAGGAATCAAGAGCATGTAAATATAAGGAATAACTGTCAAATTTTTTGGCTTTATGATGATAATAAAGCAATTGGCTTGCGTGATCATTTTATGCATAAAAGCCTTTGGCTTTATATGCAAATTATCACGCAAGTCAATTGCTTGATCACATCATAAAACAAAAAATTTGACAATTATTCCTTAAATCAATCAAATACTCATGTAATTGAATTTGTAAGGAAATAAAAAATTAAGATTAGATGTTTGAAGTTCATCACAATTTTAATTTTATTACTTTTAATTTTTAATTGACTTTGCTTTATCAGTGTAGAGAATGGAGTATAAGCCAGTAGTGTTTGATCTTCACATCTGTGGGGCCTGTAGAAAGGAATTTAATGACTATGAGGAATTTATCAAGCATAAAGAGGAATGTGTTGTTTTAGCAGAGCTTAAAAAACAAAGAAAATTGTCAATAAAACCAACTCAGACAACAATTCAACACACTCTTGCTGCTGAAAGTAACAATGAAAATCCAAGAGGATGCTTACAACAAGAAAGAACTGGAAATGAATTACTAAAACCTTCCATGGAATCATTCCCATATTACCAAAATCAGGTGTCCACAAGTGTGACTCACGCATCTGTCAATAATGTCCAGGTACCTGTGCAATCAGGTCTATCAGTTTTAAGGGGAAATTATATTGCAACATCAAGAAACAACAGCATTGATATTCCACAACATATCACGAGTGAATCCATTCTTCAGCCTCAATGTGCACAAAAGCCACAGCATTCAGACAGTGCTCTTCATGTAGACTACTTAGCAAAGCTGCAGCACGAAACAATCAGTGGTGGGAATCTAGTGAGCACACCTGTTGGACATGAGTATGCTAGACAGGCTGTGGAGGGGGGTGAGTGTAAGGGCAGAGGTTTGTCTATTGTCAACCAATCAGTGTCATAGAAAAAAATATCACTTAAATATTAATATTGTGTCATTTGATTAATCCATGACTTTAAATGCAGTAGAATGTTATATTTTTTTTTTACAACAACAGCTGATGAGACAAACAGTTCACAGCCAATGTGCCAGATTGTTTCAGTAGGCAATGAGAGATATATTGTAATAACCAATACTGGACAGGGAGATATCTGTATACCCATTGCAGCTGACAACTCAGAGGTCCTAACAATGCTTCAGAATTACATCAAGGACTCCAGTGAACAGGGTAATCATTTTTAAGTTTCATAGACTGTAATTTTAATAAAATTATACAAATAATTCTTCTTTTTTTTATGGTGTAGTGAATATTAAAGGAAAATAGATGTGCTACATACACAGTGATGCATTTTTACAGAGAGTAATTTTAAATCTACCGGGGGTACAATCATAGAAGACTTTATGTTAAGTTAATATCATTAATACAAATTCGAATTTTCTTTTATAATGTATAGGAACAGTTTTCCTGACTGGTCCCCAGAAGGACACACGTGACACAAAAGAAGGGCATTCTACAAATCAAGAGGGACTTTCTTCATTTCATACTGCAATGCAAAACTCCATGCCTCACTTATCCCAAGACTTAACTGATGGGTCAACAAACTACAGAACTTTAAATCCTATTCTTGGAAATACATTGCCAAAACAGGTCATAAAATCTCACCATGAGCTGGTGAGGAACAACACAGAAAAGATTCAGAATTCATCACAACCAACCATTCAGATGCAGTTAGACCATAATGCATCATTCTCACTGTTGTCTCCCTCTCAAGTGAATTCTAACATCCTGTCTGATCCTTCCCATAATCCCACCCAATCCCAGCATCACTTGCCTCAAGAATCTGTTCAGATTTCAACTGTTGGACTTTCAAATCAACCTCTTCTGAATGAAATTACCTCAGTGACTATACCAATTTCAGAAGTCAGTTTAAATACAGTTTCTTTAACAACCGATTCTTTTACTCAACTAGCAGTCAACACAGACATTCACAATATTCAAAAGCTCTCCGACATCCAACTGACACCAAACACTGTTCTCACATCTCTAGGCAATTTGAGTAAATATTCCAACACAGATAATGTAGAGGGTATAGGGATACACAATTTAGATAACATGTCGAAAGATGCTGATGGACAAGGAAATGAAATCCTGACTGAGGGATCAGTTCAAAACCTGGAAATGAGCAGTGTGGTGTACAATGGAGATAACAGCTTTTCAGTGCATTTCAATACCCCCAACAAGCCTGCTGAAGCCAACCAGTCAACAGAAACTCTCCACCTTGATCCACAATCAGTGGGTCTTAGTCAAATGGTAGAGGGTGGAGTGACCACAAGTGGTCAGGCAGTGGAAGGAGGAGTTAACATGGGGAACCACATAATAGGGAATAGACTCACCATGGAAAATCAGATGGAAAGAGGAGTAAGCATGCAAAAGCAAGTGGAAAGTGGAGAAAGACTGGGGAAACAAACGGCTGAAGGGAACTTAAAGAACCAGATACTGGATAGTGGAGTAAGCATGGAGAATCCTGTGATGAATGGTGGAGTAAACATGGAGAGTCAGATATTGGAGAGTGGAGTAAGCCTGATTAATGAGGAAGAGGTACAGGAGAGCCAGGTAGTAGAAGAGCTCCATCAGGCCTACCTCAGAACACAGCAAAACAAAGAGAAACAACTACACTTAGCCAAAACAAAACAGACAGACAGGACACCAGAGAAGAAACAAACAGATAACAGACAGACAGGCAGGTCACTGGAAAATAAACAGAAGAATTCTCGTAGTAAGGACATATTGTCAATTTATCTCTTTTAATGTATTTCAAGGTCAAGTTGTACAAATTGAATTATATATTTTCTTATGTCCTACAAAAAAAAATGACATGATATTATATATATATTGCTCATGACATTAATCTTAACATTTTATAAAATAAGGCATTTAATAACTTGTCTTTCAATGACAGAGAAGAAATACAAGTGTAATATCCCAAATTGCACCTTTGTGTCTGCTTACATGAAGGATTTGGAACGTCACATGCGTGTCCACACAGGCGAGAGACCATACAGCTGTGAACACTGTAATAAAAGTTTTAGTCGAATGGACAAGCTCCGCCTCCATGTCAGGGGCCACACAGGGGAAAAACCATTCAAGTGTGACATCTGTAAGTAATATATACCTGACATGTCAGGGGTAACACAAGGGAAAACCATTCAAGTGTGAAATCTGTAAGTAATATATTCCTTATATGTCAGAGGTAACACAGGGGAAAACCATTCAAGTGTGAAATCTGTAAAATATATGTTAGAAGGCTACACAGGGGGATGATGTATTTATGTGTCAGGGGCTGAATGGGGAAATGGCCTGCAATTTTAAACTAGTCAACCTTCTTTCAAATAAGAAATCCTTGTTAATACTTTGGAGATCATATTATTTTATTCATCCCAGAGTAAGATTTAAATAATCAATTGAAGTAGTGTTTCTCTCAAAATTAAAATGCTTTTTTCTCTCTTTATACCAAGGGTTCGTGTTTGATGACAATTAACTCAACCAGACCATTTTTGATCATTTTTCATGTCAGAGCAATCAATTGCCATGCATCTGTCTGTCTGGAATCATACAGAGGAACAGGCTATCTTGCATCATATCTCATGTTCATGAATCTTCATGAAAATACTTAGCTCAGTTTAATGCAATCGTGTTGGGAGTCCACGGTCACTTCTGGGGTCAAGATGGCTTATACACTGTATATGTTCTTTGAACATTCCATGCAGTTTTTGTTGAATGTATAATTCAAGATAGTGATCAAAATAAGATGTAGATAGTTAACTTCTGATTAACTTTTGATTAACTTTTGACTTACTTTTGATTAACTTGACCCATTTTAGTCCTTCTCTGCTTTTTACAGGTAACTACAGAGCAGTGGACAATGGTAGCATTAAGAAACACATGGCAGTGCACAGTGAAGACAAGCCTATCAAGTAATCACCATTCCTCTGTCAAGTTCTCATTCAATTACTGTAAACCAGTGTACCTTTGCAGCTGCTTTCTTTCTTAATCATTGGAATATATACATGCAATTACATACACTTTTCTGTGATGTTTGAACCCAAACCTGTCGTCATTTTCAAGATGTTTGAGCTTATTCCTTGTTCATGATTACAATTTTTTTTTCATTATTTTTCCATCTTTGCAAACTCATGAAAGGCGATTTACAATTAATTACCCAAATATAAATAAATAAAGATTGATTTGTCAAATAAGACTGTATACTCATGAATTGTAATCATTGTAGGTGCCAGACCTGTCCGTATGCTTGTCGTACCACCAGTCAATTAGTCGTCCATCTCCGTAAGCACACCGGTGACACCCCTTTCTCTTGTTTGTACTGCAACTCAAAGTTTAAAATCAAGTCAGACATGAAGCGACACATGCGAACCCACACCGGAGAAAAACCATTTAAATGTGAACAGTGTGAATTCAGCTGCTCTGCCAAAAGTAAGTCCAGTATAACTGATATGAATTCAGCTGCTTTGCCAGAAATGTGTTCAAAATTAATTACAGATGTGAAAGGAAAATTCAGCTGTAGCACACATGTACTATGTTCCTTTATATATACTGTGCATAACAAAGAAGCAAATGATTTTTAGTTTACCGAAAAAAAAAAGATGAACTTATGCTATACCCCCGGCTTTGGCATTTGCAAACTGGTTCAAGTTTTAGGAACAGGTCTCAATCCCAAGTACCTACATGTATAAGACGACCAGCAGGAATAATGTATCTAAGGATGCACACTACCAGACTTGCTTTTATGCTAGATCTGACCTTCATTTTCTGGATGAATGAACAGAAATTTTTTGAACAAGTTCATTCTCAAGTAACTGTAAGCCCTACCTGGATGAAATTTGCATGGATGATGCATCTAGGGATGCACACTGTGAGAACTGCTTTGAATGCTGGATCTGACCTACTTTTATTGAAATAGGTTCATTCCCAAGTAACTATAAGTCTTATGGTGACCAAACTTGAGTTAATAATGCATTTAGGGATGACGCTATCAGACTTGCATTGGTTGCTGGATCTGACCTATATTTTCCAAGTGAATGGACGGGTTAATGCCATTCCCTGCAAGGCCTATGTTGACTGAGCTTGCATTGTTACTGGGGAAGCACACTACTAGATATGCTTTTGAAGCTGAATCTGACCTACCTTTTCAGGGTGATTGAATAGTGAAAGTATTTGGAGTAAGTCAATTCTCAAGTATGTATATAGAGATTCTACCTGGATCTAACTTGTATAGGTGTTGTATAGATTCTAGGGATGCACACTACCAGAACATTTGTTTGATGTAAGACTTTGCTCTGCTATAGATAACAATTGTCAAGGTGAGCATTGTAATCTTTGATTATCTATATTTAGGTCATCTGTTTCATTCAGGTGATCTATTGCTAACGGTTCCTCTTTGTTCTCATGCCAATGTGCACACCTGTGAATATTTTCAGCCCCCCAATTAAATATAAAAACAGTTTCAATCAATTTTTGGTATGTGGCATTTATTGAAAAGGGGGGGGGGGGCAGAAACTGAATTTCATGGTCCTAGCTTCATTCGTTCTGAAGAGTTATATCCAAAACATTGAACCTTTTGTGAAATCTTCAAAAAATCTTCATTGCCCCTGCTTGTCTTGTAGGCAAACTGTTTTTATCAATACATGTATAAAAAATAATGATCTCTCTACAAAATGTTTGAAATTTGTGACCGTTAAGCACTATGAATACTGCACGCAAACCCTAGGAACTACAGTTGTTTTACGTAAATCACCATGTCTGTCCATTTATCACCAGACTTATGATTGGTGACATTTAAGAAATGGAAATGTCTGTAAGTCAAGATGTATTTACATGAAAAAGAATTGATAATTATCTTATTAAATTTTCATTTGACAGGTAACCTAGTCAGCCATTACAATGTTCATCACTCAGTCTCAAAGAAAACATGTGAACATTGTGATTTTTCTACTTCTTCCAAGAAATTATTTTTTGAACACCAGAAAACTCATTCTACACCAGATCCAGAAAATATATGCAAGGTCTGTCAGTATGTTTGTTCCAGCAAGCAAACACTGAAAACTCACATGGCTAACGCTCATAACTACAAGCTTTATGTTTGTAAGGACTGCAACTTCTGCAGCAAAAGTATGACGAAAGCCAGATATCATTACAATAACTGCCGATTACGTAAGAAATCCAACACAAATCAGAAAAAGTCCAACAAACGTCGGATGTCAAGAAATGATGATTCACAGGGAAGAAAATATGAAAAGAACTATGAATGTGAAATTTGTCAAGAAGCTTTTGTGAGAAAGGACTCCCTAAACTGTCATCTAAAACTTCACAGAGAAAGAACTCAGTTAACCTTGTCAACGGCACTGACTGTACTGGAGCTACAACAGCCTGTTATAAATAGCACAGCAGTACCGCGTAGTGGGGACCATAGCTACGATATGGAAGTGGTCAATATCTCATCATCCTTTGGAAATCGGATGGATGATCACAACTATGAAAAAGAAGAAGGTAGCATTTTCTCATCTTTTAGAAATCAGAGAGGAGAAAGATCTTCAGAAAACAAAAGAAGTAGCGACAGAATTCATGGAAAATCCAATCGAATTGATTCACAGCGCAGGCAGAAACCATCGAAACCAAACAGCACTGGAATAGCAACACTGGAAAACTTTGAAAAGTGTAAACCAAGCACAAACACTGCTTTGTGCACATCAAGGATTCTGGACCAGAGCAAGTTTGGTCAGTTTGAGAATTACAGAAATGGTAGTCAGTCCCAGGAAACACCTAATCACTACCTAGCAAGGGCTTCAGAAGCTTTATCTACAGTAGGATCCAGTGGTAATGAGACTGGTGAACAAAGTAACAATGTCAATCAAAATCAGCAGGATGAAATGGCTACCACTGTCATGTCTAGTTGTGATCCACAAGTACAGACTCCTAATATCCAAGTCATTCAGAATATTACAGTGCCTGTGATTCAGTTAGACAATGGACAGTTAGTGGCCATGCAGCAGGTAGGGAATGCTGTGGACCAGGTTTTCTCTCTGACTCCGGTAGCAGTCAATCAGCTGATGGGTACTTCTGAAACCACTGGTCAAAGTGGAGCCAGTTCTAATATATCTGCTGATGGACTGGTTCAGATATTTTCACCAAATTCTAATTCATATATTTCAATCCTGCCACAGTCAGTAATTCAACAAAACCCAAAACAGGCAACTGAAACACTGGGATCAAGTTCTATTCCTCACTCTTCTGAAAATCAAAGTCTTGCTTTACAGGGAAACATAGCCCAGTCCTTTGAATCACATCAAACAAAAGTCCAAACCAGCTCCAGCATACTGACTGCTCTCCATAGCTCCACAACAGCTAACATCACAGAATCATCCATTTCCTCTACAAGCTCTACATACAAACACAAGGATACCCTGAGGAGCCAACATTCCTGTGAAAAGGAGGACAGTTCCTCTCAGATTGATGTACAAAGTATAGAACTTGATGAGACGAGTTATGATTTTAACCTTCAGGATAGTGATCTGGTTACCAAGGAGACCATACAGGGTCGGCAGCTTGATCTGTGAACTTTGTTACTCTTTATTCAAAATTTACATGTGATTACAGTGTATTATCTTTTTATTTATGTTATAAATATGTGTGTTATTTCTGTAAAATGTCTGTTATAAAATCTTATAATGGTGAGGTCTTAATTCTAGTAATAGATTTCTGCCGCCGATAAATTATTTGTTTATATCTTACACATGCTATATGCATGAATTATGTATTACTGAATTTATAAGAACTGAAAATGATAGACATTCACATTAGGTAGTTTATACATTGAATTTGCTTCCATAGTCCTTTTTTTACTATGCACAATACACCAGCATGATATATATATATATATATATATATATATATATTAGGGATGTCAACGAGTACCCGGTTAACCGGGTACTCATTCGAACGTCCGAGTATCGAATACTAAAAATGGTACTCGGTTACTCGGAAGTGTATATTTTTTTATTTCAAAGTACATATTTTTATCAAAAACTTTTCAAAAAAATAACTTAAATATGCATACGGTAAATAGCGTGTTGTCATCTACACCTGTGAAACAACCGATATCACCTATGGCTGTGTATATACAGTAATTAGAGACCATTCACCTGGTTATCACCCATTGTGGTCCTTAATTTTTGGATGGCTTTAATGATTGTTTTCAGCGAACATCGTTTAAGTATGGTCTATTATCTTAAAATCATTTTTAAATCATCTAATTAATATACGGCAGCAAAATTGGACATGCATAGAAATGTCTCTACCCTCTTCAAAAGTGAAGAAATATTTAGGAATAACTCAAGATTAAAAAAATGTTGAAAGTCAGTTTCCGTAGTAAGTTTTGTGTATACGGGGGAACAACCAACATATGGAATAATATTAGACAAGCGATCCCAACAACGTCCGTTCCTTCCCTTTCACTGGTCAAAACTGCGTAACAGATTGTCCTCCTTTTGCGTTGGTGAAATAGATCCTAAACAAGAACTGTAAATCATTTGTAATTTTTGATGTATTAATTTTGTCTTTTGTGTTTATTTTATAAATAGATTTAGTACCAAAAAATCATTTCCCTTGGACTCGATTGTTTATATACATTTATAAACGTGATAAAAACAGCTTTGGGGTTTAACATAGCTTAACGGGACTCAAGAAAATTAACACACTTGTATTTTCATTTTTACCGAGTACCTGGGTACTCGATCGGAAAAACATCCGAGTAACCGATTATCAAAAATTGACCGATTTGACATCCCTAATATATATATATATATATATATATATATATATATATATATATATATATATATATATATATATATATACTGTAGTATTTTCCTTGAAATGAGATGCACTGCATTTCAATAAACAAGTTTCATGTATTAATGTATATTATGTATAAAAAGAACTGAATTTGAATAGAGAGCTATTAATCCAATTGTTCAAGTTAATTCCATGTTTTTGTTCAGAAAATACACTTTTTGACATGTAGACATAGTTACATGAAAATTTCTGCAACGCTAAATACCATAAATTCATTTTTGATGGCAGTTATCTTTCTTTCCATAGAATTAACTTGGGATTAAGTTATTATATCTACAATCACACAGATTTTTTAGCACTACATGTACTTAATTTGACTGAATCCTTGTTTTGAAACAATTATTTTATATAAAGTGCTATGTTCCCAAAAGATCTAATTAAGTCTAGAGGAATTTTTAGGAAAAGAAGACATCATTTTCCCCAAAGGATCCATGATTCTTACAAATCTGTCATAATGACTGCATTTTCTTCATACTTTATGTATTTGTTATCTTAATATCCCAACATTTCATCCAAATTGTTAAAACTCGAAGCTTCAAATCAATATTTTTATTACATCCATTACAATGGTTTAGCATCTATGTTTGTTTTTGGCTTTTTTCTTTATTCGTGACAGCACAATGTGGATTATGGATTGCTTATTTTTTATTTATGTAATACAATCTGTGACTTTACAAAGTGTCCCCCATTAATTGACAGAGTTTCCTCCAGAAAACTGAGCAGGTACTGGTTATAGAGACTTAGTGGTCAAAAAACTATCCCACATATCCACCTAAAATAGGAAATATGATTTCCTAGTCATGAACTATTATTTGGTAAAGTAAAAACAACATGTTCCAGCTATAAATTTTAAAGCAGGTTTGTATATTTTTATACAGAGCTCTTTTTTCCCAGGAGGATGAAATGGTCCTGAAAAATGACCACTAAGCTCTCGTTTATGGTAGATTCCCTGCTTTCCTTTAGTATTGAAAAAAAATGTCATAATTTTTTATCTTTGTAAAAATACTGAGTATGCTGAAGACTGTTGGCTTTATGTACCTGGTATAGTTAACCTGTGATCATTGTGTGCAATATTCATTAATTTTGAGATGGCATGCATCATTAAAATGTATTAAAACCAATTTTTTAAATTATATATCCAAAAGCATATTGGGAAGAGGATATTTGCTTCTTTGAAAGAAATGGGAGTATCTGGCCTCTGTTATAAACATGGGAGTCTATGGTATAAACATGACAGTTTCTAACCTCTGTTATAACAGTATAAACAAAGCAGTTTCTGGCCTCTGTAATAAATATGGGAGTCTCTGGCCTTTGTTATATAAATGGGAGTTTCTGACCTTGGTTATAAACACAGGAGTCTCTGGCCTCTGTTATAAACATGAGAGTTTATGCTGCTCTTATAAATATTGGAGTTTACAGTCTATGTTAAATACATGTACATGGGAGTCTCTGGCCAATGTTATGTACATGGGAGTCTCTGACCTATGTTATATACATGTACAAGGGAGTATCTGGTTTATGTAACATATACATGTACAAGGGAATATCTGGCCTATGTTATATACATGTACATGGGAGTCTCTGGCCTATGTTATATACATGTACATGGGAGTCTCTGACCTATGTTATATACATATACATGGGAGTCTCTGACCTATGTTATATACATGTACATGAGAGTCTCTGGGGTATGTTATATACATGTACAAGGGAGTATCTGGTTTATGTAACATATACATGTACAAGGGAATATCTGGCCTATGTTATATACATGTACATGGGAGTCTCTGACCTATGTTATATACATGTACATGAGAGTCTCTGGGGTATGTTATATACATGTACATGGGAGTCTCTGGCCTATGTTATATACATGTACATGGGAGTCTCTGGGGTATGTTATATACATGTACAAGGGAGTATCTGGTTTATGTAACATATACATGTACAAGGGAATATCTGGCCTATGTTATATACATGTACATGGGAGTCTCTGGCCTATGTTATATACATGTACATGGGAGTCTCTGACCTATGTTATATACATATACATGGGAGTCTCTGACCTATGTTATATACATGTACATGAGAGTCTCTGGCCTATGTTATATACATGTACATGGGAGTCTCTGGGGTATGTTATATACATGTACAAGGGAGTATCTGGTTTATGTAACATATACATGTACAAGGGAATATCCGGCCTATGTTATATACATGTACATGGGAGTCTCTCGCCTATGTTATATACATGTACATGGGAGTCTCTGACCTATGTTATATACATGTACATGGGAGTCTCTGACCTATGTTATATACATGTACATGGGAGTCTCTGATCTATGTTATATACATGTACATGGGAGTCTCTGACCTATGTTATATACATGTACATGGGAGTATCTGACCTATGTTATATACACGTACATGGGAGTATCTGACCTATGTTATATACATGTACATGGGAGTCTCTGGCCTGTGTTATATACATGTACATGGGAGTCTCTGACCTATGTTATATACATGTACATGGGAGTCTCTGACCTATGTTATATACATGTACATGGGAGTATCTGGTTTATGTTATATACATGTACATGGGAGTCTCTGGTTTATGTTATATACATGTACATGGGAGTCTCTGGTTTATGTTATATACATGTACATGGGAGTCTCTGGCCTGTGTTATATACATGTACATGGGAGTCTCTGACCTATGTTATATACATGTACATGGGAGTCTCTGGCCTATGTTATATACATGTACATGGGAGTCTCTGATCTATGTTATATACATGTACATGGGAGTCTCTGACCTGTGTTACATACATGTACATGGGAGTCTCTGGCCTATGTTATATACATGTACATGGGAGTCTCTGGCCTATGTTATATACATGTACATGGGAGTATCTGACCTATGTTATATACATGTACATGAGAGTCTCTGGCCTATGTTATATACATGTACATGGGAGTCTCTGGGGTATGTTATATACATGTACAAGGGAGTATCTGGTTTATGTAACATATACATGTACAAGGGAATATCTGGCCTATGTTATATACATGTACATGGGAGTCTCTGATCTATGTTATATACATGTACATGGGAGTCTCTGACCTATGTTATATACATGTACATGGGAGTCTCTGACCTGTGTTATATACATGTACATGGGAGTCTCTGGCCTATGTTATATACATGTACATGGGAGTATCTGACCTATGTTATATACATGTACATGGGAGACTCTGGCCTATGTTATATACATATACATGGGAGTCTCTGACCTATGTTATATACATGTACATGGGAGTCTCTGGCCTATGTTATATACATGTACATGGGAGTCTCTGATCTATGTTATATACATGTACATGGGAGTCTCTGACCTATGTTATATACATGTACATGGGAGTCTCTGGTCTGTGTTATATACATGTACATGGGAGTCTCTGGCCTATGTTATATACATGTACATGGGAGTCTCTGGCCTATGTTATATACATGTACATGGGAGATTCTGACCTATGTTATATACATGTACATGGGAGTCTCTGACCTATGTTATATACATGTACAAGGGAGTATCTGGCCTATGTTATATACATGTACATGGGAGTCTCTGACCTATGTTATATACATGTACATGGGAGTCTCTGGGGTATGTTATATACATGTACATGGGAGTCTCTGACCTATGTTATATACATGTACATGGGAGTATCTGACCTATGTTATATACATGTACATGGGAGACTCTGGCCTATGTTATATACATATACATGGGAGTCTCTGACCTATGTTATATACATGTACATGGGAGTCTCTGGCCTATGTTATATACATGTACATGGGAGTATCTGACCTATGTTATATACATGTACATGGGAGTATCTGACCTATGTTATATACATGTACATGGGAGTCTCTGGCCTATGTTATATACATGTACATGGGAGTCTCTGATCTATGTTATATACATGTACATGGGAGTC